ATTGCCTTTTTGTAATGTTTTTTGTGGCGTTTTTAGATCTCATACATGATCTCAGCTTGGGCTAGGATGTGTAAGATCCTGGGGAAGGAGTTTCAACAGTATCTGCCTGTAGTGATGGGCCCCCTGATGAAGACTGCCTCCATCAAGCCTGAAGTGGCCCTACTGGACAGTAAGTAACAGCAGATGTATACTGGCCGTACAATGCAAAAGCATAGGGGACAGAATGAAAGATGCCATATTTAAATATGTGTTTCTCCGTCTCTAGCCCAGGACATGGAGAGCATATCAGAGGACGACGGCTGGGAGTTTGTGAACCTGGGAGACCAGCAGAGTTTCGGCATCAAGACGGCCGGTCTGGAGGAGAAGGCCACCGCCTGCCAGATGCTGGTGAGCAGTCCACTCTGATGCAGCAGCAAAACACTGAGATGCACGAATGTATTTCTAAGAGACTCTGTTGTTTTCCAGGTGTGTTATGCCAAAGAGCTGAAGGAGGGCTTTGTGGAGTACACAGAGCAGGTGGTGAAGCTGATGGTCCCTCTGCTCAAGTTCTACTTCCATGATGATATCCTTTTATCTCAGACTTTGACATCTTTGATCTGTTATTGTCAGCATATGTATTTGTATTGCTATGAGGCTTTATGGTGGCGTTTCCTTAACGTACTCACGTGTGCGGGTGGCAGCAGCCGAGTCCATGCCCCTGCTGCTGGAGTGCGCGAGGGTCCGAGGGCCGGAGTACCTCACCCAGATGTGGCACTTCATGTGCGACGCTCTCATCAAGTCCATCGGCACGGAGCCAGACTCGGACGTCCTGTCGGAGATCATGCACTCGTTCGCCAAGGTAACGCCGTCTTCCTGAAATCTCTCATCACAGCATTTCCATTTCGATGGGATTTCTGAAGCAGATGATGGAAGTGTTTTTTCTCTGCAGTGCATTGAGCTGATGGGAGACGGCTGTCTGAACAACGAGCATTTTGAAGAGCTGGGCGGCATCTTAAAGGGAAAACTGGAGGAGCATTTCAAGAACCAGGAGCTCCGACATAGTGAGGCTTTTTTTTTTAACGACACACCATAGAATTTTTCTTTTAACAAGTTCTCATCACTATAAGCAAGAGTGTGTTTTATGCATAACACTCACAGAATGATTCTTTGTTCTTCACAGCAAAGAGACAGGATGAAGACTATGATGAGCAGGTGGAGGAATCATTACAAGACGAGGTCATTATTTAAACTGATTACAGTCAAATAGTTTGTCTAATAAATACGATCATAATCAATTTAGTAAATGTTCAACGTGATTCTTCTTGTTCTGCAGGATGAGAACGATGTGTACATCCTGACCAAAGTGTCGGACATCCTGCACTCAGTGTTCAGTAGTTACAAAGAGAAAGTGCTTCCTTGGTTTGAGCAGCTTCTGCAGCTCATCGTCCAGCTCATAGTAAGTCCAGTAAAACAAGTGTAAAGTGCCAAAGGGTCAGTAGATGGTGTCTGATGGATTCTAACTCTTATCTGAACTTGTCTTCAGTGTCCCAGCAGGCCATGGGCGGACAGACAGTGGGGTCTGTGCATCTTTGACGACGTGGTGGAGCACTGCAGCCCCGCCTCCTTCAAATATGCCGAGGTTTTCCTGCAGCCGATGTTGCAGTCGCTGTGTGACACGAGTCCTGAAGTTCGGCAGGCGGCCGCTTATGGTGTCGGCGTCATGGCTCAGTACGGAGGAGAGCTCTACCGCCCGTTCTGTACAGGTATTGCTGAGCGCTGGTCTTTAGTTGTCATGTCGGTAGCTTGGTGCTCGTTAGTTTTAACTCACTGCCTCTCTGTTTCGTTGCCCCAGAGGTCATCCCGCTGATGGTCAGAGTCATCCAGTCAGCTGACTCCCGCGTCAAGGAGAACGTCAACGCCACGGAAAACTGCATCTCCGCCGTAGGAAAGGTCATGAGGTTTAGACCGGAGTGCGTTAACGTCAACGAGATTCTTCCCCATTGGCTCAACTGGCTCCCGCTCCTCGAGGACAAAGAGGAGGCCGTGCACACGTTCGACTTCCTGTGTGACCTCATTGAAAGGTATAATGGCGCCTGTGTGGGAAAAAAAAGACATCTGAAATTATTTAGTAAACCATTCGTTGTACAAACTCATATTTTTTTTTTTTCCCGCAGCAACAATCCCATTGTCCTCGGACCAGATAACGCCAACCTTCCTAAGGTTTTCCTCATCATCGCAGACGGAGTTGCAAACGAGTCGGTGAAGACTGAAGACGCATGCAGCAAGCGGATGGCTAATGTCATCCGTCAAGTACAGGTAAATAGTTGATTTAAAAACAAAAGATTGAAATGCATTGTGAGAGATTTTCCCAGATTGATTTGTCTTCATCTTGTCCCTCAGGGGTCGGGAGGTTTATGGACGCAGTGTGTATCGACACTGAACGAGACGCAGCAGAAAGCCATTCAGGAACTACTGAATACTGCCTGAAGCCCCGGTCACCTCCCCGCTCTTTAATTAAAAAAAGCCCATGAAGAAAATTTGAGCTCCTGGACCTCTTCCATACACTTTTTCCTCCTGCTCTGATCTGTAGTGTGTATGGACGCCAGCTTCAAACCCCCCCCCCCGTTCCCCTTCATCACCACCCTAACTATCGTATAACTCAACCAACATTCAGCCAAATGGGGGAGCAGGTTGGATATTTATGACAATGGAGGACATTGGCCATCCACCTCAAAGACTTTCACCCTGTACCCAAGGAAGTGGGAACCAGAGTAAAGTGTCCCTGTCTAATATCCGGACGTTTTGTTTTCAACCATTCCCTGATGTTTGACTCGTCTCGTCGTGCCCAGAGGGACTCGTTCTCCACGTCGCCCAAAACAAACTCATTGGACAGTCAGGGGGCCAATGTGGGGGGAAATGGGGGCAGGACATTACTGTGGACTGAGCAATTGAATGCACACTTTGGGCGATCACTGCCTGTCTCCTGTGAAATTTACTTTTTTTTTTGTATTTTTATTTCTTCTCGGTGTCACATTGGGAGAAACGGCTTCTTGTCTGCCACAGCTTGGAGGGATTCTAAAAAATAGATTAAAAAAAAAAAAAAAAGTAATGGCATGTTAAGTGGCTAGAAAACATAGTTCGAAAAATTACATCATCGTTGTCTTGGAGAGTTGATTTTAAAAGCAGCTTCCCTCAGTTAGCCTTCCAGATAGCTGTTCAGTCTGAAGATGAAATGTTTTGCTTAACGGTTCCCAGCCCTTTAGGTAGCAGTGTATAGTAAGGGGCGCTCAGAAAATCAGAGCAATAAATCTGTTGTTGGTCACAGCGTCATGGCACTTGACAAGATGGAGGAACATGAATTGTAGAGTATTTGTAAAATGCGTGTTACCATACTCTTAACTTTATGGTTTTGACCCTTTGCAGCCCTGCAGGTATGTGATGGAATTCTGGAAACTAACAACAATAAAATTCCACTTGAATTCTGACAAGTTTTCATTTGATTTATTTATTAAAGGAATAGTTGAAAATATTAATTGTCTTGCCCAGAGTTGGATTAAAAGACTCGTACATATTCAACAAGTGTGCGCTATGTATTCCAACACAAGCAGACTGCTTAGTTATTCTACTAGAAAACGCCACAGCAAATTCCTAATGGGTGTTTTATTTCTATAAACAGACCAGATATTGGACATTAAATTGTAACGGGCATACATTAAAACGGCAACTTTTTCGGTAAGTCAGCTCACTTTTTAGTTGCAAGAGGTGGAAGAAGTATTCAAATGATTTACTTGATTTAAGTAAAAGTAGCATTCCTACAGTATAAAAATACTTGGATACAAGTCAAAGTCCTGCATTCAAAATTGTACAAGTATATTTTGATAATACTTTAAGTGCTATAAGTAAGACTACTCAATATGCAGGATGGCCCCTTTGAACACCATTAAATTATAGTATTGAACTATTCATTTGCATTATTGTATTCATTTCAACTATGGTTGCATTTGTAAAAGTGGGTTTCATTTGAGATGTATTTCATGCTGTGCTACTTGAATAGCTATGTATTGATTTATGCATTTTTAAACATCAGCATTAAAGTTATTAAAGCTGTCAGACGTGTGTAGTAGAGTAAAAAGTACAATATTTGCTTACAAAATGTAGTGGAGTAATAGCAAGTAGCATAGAAAAATACTTCAGTAAAGAACTTACATTTTGTAGTGAAGTACAGTACTCGAGTAAATGTACTTAGTTACTTCACCCCACTGTTAGCTACTAGCTTCTGAGCTAACCACACCCCCTTTATCAGCAGGTCAAAACGAGTTGTAGCATTTATTTATCGACAATAGACTGTACACAAAAATGAATGACTTTATACTCACTTTACTTGTTCTTTCTCCATGGTACCGTAGGCAGGAGGTTAATTATTTACAGCTGTTGGTGGCTAATTGGCAGCTTAGTAAAATCATAAGCATAACTTTCCGTCGCTCGCGCTCTTTTTCCTCTCCTTTAACAATCGCTAGTGTTGAACAAAAACCCTGCGTAACAAGTTATAACTTTAATTAAATTAAAACCCATTAAAAAAAGTACTTGTGCAAACCTTTTTGGCTGGACTATTTTCTTGTGGGGCGCAGTGATACCTGTAGTCTCGAATGGTTGCCTAGCAATGACCAGACTCTCGGCCGGAAGTGACAGACTTTTTCCTGTTTCCATTTATACATTATTTGATTTTTTTCATCAAGCTAATCTTGGCAATATTTTTCTTTTAACTTTATATATAGAATAATTTCAAGCATAACTTTCCCCCTTGCTAAAATTATAACTTTAAGAGGAATTCAACCAATCAAAAGAGGGCGTCAAGTCAACGAGTACTACTAGCCAATCAGAGCACAGTAGGGCGGTACTAGGCGGAATAGTAATGCGCAACAATGCTTTCTAATCGCTAATGGACTTAAGATAATTGTCCAATAGTTGCTTTTAATAATTGCATGCACATAATTATATGGTCCCAAGGTATTTGACAGACATCACAGAGCAGCCATGCTTTATTAGGACATCTATACCAACAGCAAAAAGTTTAAATTAAAGCTTTCAACCTAACTCAGTCATGGATGGTGACCACGGCCTCTTCTGTAGAGAGATGGAAATGTGTTTACCTATTTTTTTACAAAAACTTGAATATACATGTACGGCCTATACTGGCAAGAGAGTGAAGTTCCGACAAGTTGCTTTAGCATGGAAACATTTTGTGTGTACATATAAAGGATAGCAGGTCGTTCTCTAAATTCAATTTGGGGCCGTTTTCTAACATTGACCTTGGCAATCTCCAGACCAGCTGGAACACCTGGCTAAATGAATAACAGGCTTCTCACATTTCTAAATGACATCCTAATATCCTCCACAAGTGCAATGTATTTGCTAAGACCAGCTCAATATTTCACTTTTGAAGAAAACTCTTCCACACAGTATCGGTTTGATTTCTAGAGCCACTGATCGCTCCCCCGGCGTTATGATCGGACCATGAAGAAGGGGAAACCTTCGGAGGCTAGTAGTGTTCAGGAGGGAGGGTGAATGAATTGTGTGCAGGCAGTCTGTCCTTGAATTGCATGGCTGTCTAAGTGACAGAATTGATTTTAAATCCTGATTAAAACACTGATGATTTGAGCAGATTTGTTCCACATAGAACACAACGATTGTTAGTTTAAATTAACACTACCAGATCAGAGATAGGTGTATTTCAGTGTCAGTTGAGATAATACAATATTTACAGTGATCTGTACAAGTGACGTGAAAGTGCCTGACAGGAAGGTAAGAGAGGAAGGTGTCAGAAAGGAGGAGCTTCACATTGAAATATTGAGATTTAGTCAGATTCCTACAGGACAAATGACTACAGAGTCTCCAGTCAGTTTCATTTGCCACCATCCCACATGTAGTCTTCCTCCTTTTTCACTCTTTTATTGGAGCATGTCCACAAAAGCGTCAAATTCGTCGATGTTTTTCTCGTAGACGGCAAGTTTCTCTGGCAGTGAGTCCTGTAGACAAGAAATGACATGTCCCCGTTATACCATACTTCTTTGTGGTGAGAGGTTTAAAGAAGGAATCAAAACGTTCTCATACGAATAAAACAATAAGAAGTGTGTTACCAGGTCATCGGCCATCGACTGGGCGCTGATGTGAAGAGAGAGGCTGGCCAGTTGCGGAGGGTTTTGAAACTCTCTGTAGAAAGTGCCCAGATCCATCGGCAGCAGGTCGTCTTTAGAGAAGGCTGGACGCTACACACAGAAGCAGACAGGCAATCAAACATCTCCGGATGAAAGACATAAAGGTACAGATTAAAGAAATGGTGTAGCATGTCAATTAATGGCTTTAGAGGTGCTGATAAGTGGCTTTTGTTATTGATTGACAGAGCTAAGGCTAGCCGTTTCCCCTGGTTACAGTTTTTGTGCAAAGTTAACCCTTAGATGCCCGAGTGACTGGACCCTACACGACACGCAAGTGGGTCAAAAAGGACCCGTATTAGAATAATGTGTTTTTATGCCATTTTGGTTAAGAAAAATCACTTGTATAATATTTAGTATTATATTTTGGTTCACACTAGAAATATTTTATATTACATTTTTCACTATTTATAATTTTATAATTTTCTTTTACATTTTGAAAAAACCCGTTTTCCCATAGGATTCCATAGAAAATGCATGCGGGTCATTTTTGACCCACTTATGGAAGCTTGGGGTAGTAATACAAGAACTACAATTTCTTAAAATGTAAATTAAAATGTTTGAATGGCATGGTATCCAAAACATGTTTTTTGAGGAATAGCTGGAATATGAAATGATAACAACAATTTTAATTACAAAGATACTTCAAGAAAACCACCTCACCGGGTCAAAAAACACCCACTTATGCATCTAAGGGTTAAAATGAAATAAAAATAAAAGATACATGAACATTGAAAAATAAACATAAGAAGTTTAAGTAAGAATGTGCAAAAAATATATAAAAAAATATATATGAAAAAACGTAAAAAAAAAGATCAAATTAAATAAAACAGTATACAAATATTTATATAAACAAAAACAGTTCAGTAAAAATGTGCACATTGTTTAACAATATATAGCATATTAAGATTTGGTGTGTTTTGTATACATGATATATTATTGCTGTAAACATGTAGTGCTGTAGTTTAGCTAGTAGTGAAAGAATAGTTGCAAAAACACTGTCAGACAAACATCTTACTGTCTGACCTCAAAGTCAAATCCAATTGTGTCGATGGAGATGCCAGAGCGGCGGGCGTAGTTCTGGAGCGTTCCTGTGAGGAAAGCCTGCGGGAAGAAGAAGCCGCTAATCCAGAAAACAGGTGGAATGCCATCACAGATCCATTTCTGCAGGAAATTGATCCTCTGAATCAGGTCTGACACCCAGGATGCCAGAGGCTTCAGGGACGGGTAGGCCTGGAGGGAGGGAGACACATGGCCCGTCAAAGAATGCCATGTGTATTCTTAGAAAGCAGAGCCGGGAATTATTAGAGCAGGACAGAAATGTCAGAAGAAGATCATCTGATTCCCTGTTCACTGAAATCACTCCCACATGATCAAGTGTCACCCCCAACTGTACGACACACACAGATGGATGTCGTAATATTATTTCAGTTAAAGGCCCATTGCTGTAATCTGTGCACGTGCAATACCTTCAAAACATCTAACACCTTTATCTTGACTCAGTAAGTTATCCATATTGTCTACAGAATTGCTTAATTTATAAAAACATCCCATCCATTGAAAGTGTGCCTGAGAAAACTATAGATTTGGTGTAGAAGGTGATGTCTTTAAATGTTTTTGATGTTGACTCTCTTTGAGCCATTCCTTTTGGGGGGGCAGGGGGTTCTGTTGTGTCTTTATTTTTTTTAATGTTTTATTGTAAAAAATTGATTATTGGCGAAAACTATTTCATTATGTATGAAAATAAATTAATAAAAACATAAAGAACCAAAAAAAACATCCCATCCAAACCACGTGAGATCAAGAAGGTCAATAACCTGTGTGTGTGTGTGTGTGTGTGTGTGTGTGTGTGTGTGTGTGTGTGTGTGTGTGTGTGTGTGTGTGTGTGTGTGTGTGTGTGTCTTGCCTTGGCTTTCCACATATCGGGCACCACGTTGATGAACAGGCTGCTGGCCATGAGCTCCAGTTCAGACGACATCACCACCAAACCTTTCAGAGCCTTCACGATGTCTCCGAGACTCTGAGAGATGACCGCCAGCAGATTGTTGTATCTGAAAAAACACAAAGAACTAGTTATCAAAGTACAACTGATTCAAACTGGTCATACCCGATTCCGTCCAATCAGTTATTCACGTGTCATCCATCCACAATATTATCACAATTATTCATTAAATGGAGTTATGCAAAGACAAATACATAAACACTCCTAAGTCTTATGGGGGAGTAAAAGTGTAAAATAAATATCTGTAGCCTGTAAATAATGTTCAACCTGGTATAACTTAAATTAGATGTTACATTCTGCTGATACATCTGACAGATATACTTCTTACTACTACTTAATCTAAGAAGCAACAATTATAATTTCTAACAACCGATGGGAGTTGGCAATAGTAAGATTCATTTCTTGATAAGTCCTAAGAAGTTGGAAACATGTTCAGAACTTGTTTATAGCACTAGGAAAACAACACCGAAATACAAATACTTTGAATATCCCATTCTATAAAAAGGAACATGGCTTATTTGTGAAAGGCTGATAAGATCCTTGACCATGACTCAGCGAGTTCAACGCCGGGTTGAGGCATTACTCTCTGCCTCTACTCTCTTCCCGAGCTCACACCCAGTTGAATGAATAAGAGCTGTTATTATTACAATATGATTACACAGCTGTGTGTGAGGAGAGGAGAGGAGAGAGGAGAGGAGAGAGGAGAGGAGAGGAGAGGAGAGAGGAGAGAGAGGAGAGAGGAGAGGAGGGGAGAGGAGAGGAGAGGAGAGAGGAGAGGAGGTGGAGAGGAGAGGAAGGGAGAGGAGTGTTGGATAGAGAGAAAGGGGCGTGATGAGAGAGGAGAGACTGGAGTATGTGACCGAGAGATAGACAGAAAGCACGTTGGTTATGAAGGACGTAAGGAGAGAGAATAAGAGAAGTTAGGAAGTGAGGGAAATGACCGTGGGAGATGTGACTGGCAGATGACCCAAGAAAGGAGACGCAAGAGAAAAAAAGGTAAGCGAGATAGAGAGAGGGAATGAGAGGAGAGGAGAGGAGAGAGGAGGGGTAGAGGAGG